TGTAAATATATATGTATTTGTTACCCGTAAAGTCGAATAAGTGAATCTCTTTTGTATTTTAATGGTAGATTTGTATTTATAGTTATGATTTCTGTTATTGAATTTTGTAATAAATTTGTTTCTGATAAAATTTTTTCCGAAGTTGATATTTGACGATATTGATCAATTAAATTAACATCAGATGAACAAAAACGATTTGTTAATGTAGATGTTTGTATTTGTTGTTGATGTTGTTCAAAATCTTCATTGATTGAACATAATGGTACAATAGTTGATGGTGTTGAAGAAATTGTACGAGTAAATGTAGTAACTGGTGGAAAAGGTGAATTAGCTCGTTTAAAAGTATTTGTATTAGAAATAAATTGACGTTGTTTTTGAGTTGAAGCTATTGTTGGACGAGCAAAACCAGGAGGTGATGGTGCATTCGATGATGATGAATATGATGATGAACAAGTTGAATCTGTTGTTGCACTTGTACTTGAACGTGATAATGTTACAGATTCTTTATTAGCATTATTAATCACAGCAACCATTCTATGTACTGTAGAATTAGTATCAGTTTCAATAATTTCGACCTGTTGTTTTTGTTGTTGAGATATTTGTTTAAGTTGAGACCATGTTTTTGTTAAAGGAGTTTTTGGACTAACAGGTGGTGGAATAGGTCTATTATGATTAGCTATTTTTTCACAGATAATAATTGGTTGAGGTTTATTATGATTATGATTATGATTATGATTATGATTATTATTCTTTTTTGAAGTAAATGGAATAGGAGAAGAAGTATCAACAACGACAATTGGTGGAGTTCGTGGAGAATTTCCATTTTTTCTTGTACCTTCCCATTGTTTAACAAAAACGCTACGAATTGGAGAAGATACTTTTGTATGATTATTCATTGATGATGAAGCAGCTTGTGATTCAAATTGACGAATTATATTAGCAACCCGAGATGAAAGTACACGATTTTTAAATAGTTGACATTGAATTTCTAAATGAATTGGTGATGATTCGACTAGTGATAATGATGATTGTGAAAGTTGTAAAGTTGATAATAATGATGAAGATGATGGTACAGATTGGGGTCGCAGAAAAAAAGGGGTTGACTGTTTGTTATTGTTACTATTCGTCGTCGTCGTCAAATCGTTCACGGATGTCCAACGTTGGATGAACGTTGATGATGACATTTTTTTTTTCTCTCTCTCTTTCTCTCCCTCCCTCCTTTTTTTTTTCTTCCTATGTTCAATGTAGAACAGTAAAAATTATTACAGCAAGCAACGAGCACATCACCATGTTGATCGGTATCATCGACTACGACGACAATAATAAAGAAGAAGAAGAAGAAGTACGTAACATAGTACACACGTGCATTTATGTGTGTCAACTTCAACCTCCTGCACACATTGTATAAAAATATTCGTCGGTTACTCGAAGGAGAAATCAACCGTATGCATAAGTCGTTAAAAAAGAGAAAGAAAGGATGGATAAAAAAAAAAAAAAAGAATTTAATGTATAATAAAATGGTGATAATGGTTCTCTCTACAAAAACAGAAAGAAAAAATAAAATAAAATAAAAAAAAAAAAAAAGGTATGATTGAAATAGACATAACCATCTGACGATGTTTGCATGTCATAAATATATTTTATAATAACAAGTGATCTCTTTCGAAAAGTATTTAAATATTTGATTATATAAAAACAAATGCATAATAAGATGAAACAAATTTGTATATGAAATAAATAATTTGAAATGAACTCGTCTGAAGCTTTTTTCTTTTTCGAATGTCTACTTGTGTCCTTCGATACTCTTTTATTTGGTTTGTTAACATTGATTTTTTCTCATGTGAGTCATTAGATAGAAATATCTGTGTGCTCGATTGCCCGCCAATAAAGGTCGTATTATTATGCATAATTCATACGCCAAGGTCAAGGCTATTCTATGAAGTGATGACGGCGAATTGAACATATTCATTGCTTTTCGATATCGAAAGTATAATTTATATTGATCTTTGTTTTTTTTTTTCTTCAAGAGAAGAGAGAAAAAAAAACAGTATGCTGGAAAGTATCATATTACACCATATAGAAAGAAAATAGAAGGAAAAAAAATGCTTGTTTTTATATGTATTGATGATAGACAAATGGACACATCCTACAGATAAGGTGCATCAAGAAATCATAGAATCGAATAATTATAGATATATTTCAAATAATTTTTTTTTTCAAATCTAAGTATTATACCTTATTAATAAGTAGAATTGAAGGTAATCTCATTAAATAAAAAAAAAGATAATAGGAAAAGAATTTAATCTTACTGTTTTGATATCGTAGTCGATGATGTTACAGGTTGATGTTGTTGTTTATTTTTATTTGCTGTTGGTGTAACATTATCTGATGTTTTTGATAATTGTTTTTTATTTAATGGTTTATCTTCTTGATGTTCGATTTTAGTTTCAGTTTTAATTATATTTGATGGAATATTTGATTGTTTAATAGAATGTATTGATGAAACAATTCGTTCGGGTATTTTCGCTATACTTGAACGTTTAAGTTTAGATGATTCTAATAATTTATTTTGATTTGTTAACATTAAACTTGATCGTCGATCGGTAGGAACAGGTGCTAAACTCGCTCTTTTTAATTGATTCAATGATTTTGATGTTGAAGATGAAGAAATAGAATTAATCGTTTCATTTGATTTCATAAGATTTGAAGATTTGGAATGATTGACGTTCAATTGAAAAGAATTACTTACTTCACTATGTGTTGATGTCGATACAAGTCCAATCGTAGACTTACTTTTTATCGAATTTTCAAGAGATTTTTTTATTGATTCTGGTGTTTTTGATGATGATGTTTGATTAAGATTATTTTTATTTGTTTCATTTTGTGAACGAAAATCACTCACTGTTTTGTTTTCTGTTAAAGTAGATGTTCCTGTATTAATCGAATTTTGCTCAGTTGATGGATTTAATGGTCGTTGAGGTTGTTTATTTGAATCTTTAGGTTTTAATTGAATACCAAATTTATTGGCTACCTTATCTTTATTAAATGCACCAAGACCCGGTGTACCGCTCATTTGTTTATATTAAACGATCTTTTTTTCTTTCTTTCTCAAACTACCAACGATGATTTCATCAGTTGTTGTTGCTGTCTTTTGTATACGTATCTTTACTGAGAATAATCTATCTCTCGCATTCTTATTCCTAAGAATAGAACCAAAAACAAGCATCCTTATAAAAAAAAAAGGCAAGCAATTCTTTTCTTATTGACTGTAGAAAAAGACGAAGAAATATCTTCTTTTTTTTTTTATATTTTTTTCCTTGTTCTTGTTTCTCTCTGATACTTATGTGCAAAGTACTGTCGTGATATCGAACTACGTACAAAACAGAAAAACAAGAATAGGAAAAAAAAGGAGGCCTTGGTGCTAGTGTTAAATGGCAATGGATGATATTACTGTGATTGTGATTATGCGACATCAATGATGGTGCTTCTACCAGCACGTCTTTATCATTAGACGTACATAGAAAAATCATAGAAATAATCTTGTTTTACGATAATAATAGAATTTATTTTTCTTTTCTTTTTATTTTATCAAGAAATAATCTTTAGAGACTTTTATAATAAATAAATTCATTTTAATTCACTATCACAATAATCAAAAATTAGTTCAACATATTGTTTGTTTCATTTCCAGATGATATTTATCGTAAAGAATCTTTATATAGTAAACAATATGTCAGCTGCTTCTTCTTATTCCACAAATAGTCAAACAAGTTTTATCTGTAACGACATTCATTTGATTGTTCTATACAATGCATCAGATGAAGTATGCTTTTATTTTACCGAAATTTGATAAACTCGAACTATATTTGATTTATATTTATCTATAATTCTTGATTATTCTAGAAAAATAAAAATAATGTATTCTCTGATAAATGTTCATTCTATTGAACTATGAACACATATTCCATAGAATTATCAATGAATTAAACCTCTGTCATTGACTTATTTGGCTAAACATCAATTATTATAGAAAGAACAATATCAATCAATCAAATCATATATTTAGACATATGTTTTATATATATATATATATATATAGACTCAATGAAAACTTCTACTATTGACGATTGATTGCTTAATAATATTTTCTGATAGTAACGGTCAATTATGCATGAAGATAACTAGAATAGAATAATACAAATTTTTGTCTAAAGGAATTTGATCAGTGTAAATAATTAAAATGTTTTTAATGTATATAAAAACAAAAATTTCGGTTATATCTATCAGTTATTAAATAATTTCTTTAATAGGATTCAAAAGATTTGTTAATCAATATGAACTTTATAGAATCAATCAACAGTTGTTTATGTCATTCATATCTGTCAAATGTTATCAATCTATTATAAAACGCCCTAAGGGTACAAATTTGTCTCATAAGAATAATTTCTTGTATTTTTTATAATTTATTCTACTGTTATGTCTAATGTCAATCGATGAAGATATGTCAATTTTTCACTGTTCTTTATCTATCTATTAGATTTTAATTTTAAAATTTTTCTTTTCGATTTCTAATTTCTTTATTTTTATATATAAATAAAATGAACCTTTTATTGAATGCCAAACATACATATTATTTCCCTGTTTTTGTTTTGCACATATATGTAGAAAAAAGAAAAAAGAAAACTGCTCAGACAATAACCACGGTCTACATTCAGCCGGGTGAAAAAAAACCAAAACAAAGAAAAAAAAAAAAAGAAGAAAACAACGTTTGAAGAGAAATAATGACGTAGAAAGAGTAGGAAAGAGGAGGAGAAATAGAGAAATAAGAAAACAAATAAGTAAAGGCAAAAGAAAACAACAAGTATAAATAATAGCTGAAATACACACATATTAATATTATCTTATTTTTTCTCTTAATATCTCTCTCTCTGTCACTCTCAATCTCGTCGAAAAAAAAAAAAAACGAAGATTAATGCAATGTAAATATGCGATTATGTTTATCAAGCTGAATAAGTGGTACCATCCGAAGTTGTAATCGATGTAGCCGTTGATGTTGGTGTTGCATAGGTAAATAGTGGTGATTCTGGACTAGTTGGTGTTGATGATAATTGTGGAATTGATGTTAATGGTGGTGTAAGAATAAATGGAAATGGAAAATTTCCTTGTGGATGTGCATGAAAATATTGTTGAGCTTGACCAGGATTATTTGTTGTTGTAAAAACTAATGGTTGTTGAGCAAATTGTGGATTACCAGCTGGATGTGCAGCAACTAATGGATGTGGTAAAAGTGTTGCTGGTTGAAATATTGGACCACCAGGATGAAAACCAAATGCTGTTGGAGCAAATGGAATCTATTTCAAAATTTTTAAATTCAATACATTTATTTATTTATTTATTTATTTATTAATATTTATTTATTTAATATACAAAATAAAAGACAAAATAATTATTCGCAGAATAGGACACGTGCAGCTGAATCTAACTTGACTTGTAGTTTGTTTTAGCAAAAAAAAACATAATAAATTTTAAATCAACATGCATTTTTTACTTTCTTATATCAAATTTCTATTTATATAAATCGAAATCATTGTTTGAAAGAGAAAAGCGATGAGAAATTTCGGTTCTTATATGATCAATACCCAATTATCTGGCATTATTATAGAAGAAGCTTTAAGAGAAATAAAATTCAAAGTATTACTCATGAAAATCATATTAGAGAATACATTTAAACAATTAAATCATTAAATAACAAATTTTCTTTTTTTGTTTTGATTTTCTTACTCCTCACACAGGTGTAGGACACTGAAAATAAGTTTATGTTGTATTTCGATTTGTTTGTTCATTATAAAGAATAAAAAAAAAAGCCCTTGGAGAATATTACCTCTTCAGGCTGATTCGGCTGCTGCTGCAGAGTTTGTTGTTCTGGTAAAATAAACTGAGAATGATTGGAATCGATCATCATTATCGATGGAGCGGTGGTACTAGCAGCAGAGCCGTACAGCGCATCGTATGTCTCTTTGTAGAGATCTTCGAGACATTTCTCCTACGATGAAAATTACAACAAAAAAAAAACAAATATCAACTTAGCCATGCGTAGCATTAAATCACACAATATAAAACACATGCAAAATTTATATTTATGTTTTCTTTTTAATAGAAATAAAAAAAAAATAACATACGTCTGTTCGACGTGACGTTGGTCGAAGAATTGTATAATAAGCACCACGATGATGAACAACAGTTGGAGGTGGTTGACTTGGACGAGAAGATGTTGATAGAACACCGGTAGGTGCTGAAGGTACATTTCGATTTATTGTTGGAGGACTTGTATTACCATTTGTTGATAAACGACCGGTAGCATTTATACATCGACGAATATTTCTATTATGATATACATATCAAATATGTTTTTATACTCATATTAGATTTGTTTTTTTTTCCTTGAATTATTTCTTTACAATTAATATAAGTAAGAACACGATTAAGTCTATGAATAATGTTTTCATCGAATTAATTTCTTTTACTATTGCTTATTGTAGAAATCTTATCTCTTTATCGACATAATTAGTCTTAATAATAGTTTTGGAAAGTGTATCTCTAATTATGATGTTTTAGTATAGTACAACATCCAGTAATGAATACTATCTATTATATCGAAATAGAAACTATCAGTGATGTATTATGTCTTTATATATAAATATATATATAATTATATCAAAGACGTTTACATTTGAAATATGACTTTCAATCAATCTGTGATAATAATCATGTTGTTTATCGTGCCTTAACCACTACTATAAAGATAATATTAGTCTTCAGGAGTCTTTTATCGGATGAAATTACAAATGAAATTTCGTATTGCGAGACAACCGAAATTTATCTTATTATATCGTAGAATTCATTCGAGCTACACGAGAAAAATCATTCGCGTCACTCTCGACTAAATTATTTGCCATTAGAGATATGCAATTTCAGTAAACTATTCATCGAAAACTCACACTGACTCGGTATTCACTGATTTACCTGACATATTCATACTGTATGAATGGGTTAATATTTCAGTGAATACCGATCCAATGCAGGCAGTAGACTCACTGTTAGTATTTTCATCGAAATTGTACATCCCTAATTGAGATACCAACTTTATCAAAATATGTCCTTTTCGTAGCGATGTTTTCTAATGTTTCAGTGAACACCAGTGCTAGTGTGTCATTGTGCACTAACAACACTAAGTCAGTGACATCGAAGGTCAATAAAATGAAATTCAACACATCTATTTGCTGTCATTTCAATTAGTTCTTTCCGTTGTATATATGAAAACTAATTGTGAAAGATGAAATTGATATTTTTCTTTTGTATTTCATCAAAGCGAGAATTTTACATTGAAATTAAAACTTTTAATATTCATTCATTTGATTTGTGTGTCTTCTTTTTTTTTATAATTAATAATGAAAATCTTACTTTTGTTGGAGAACATTGACAGCAGATGACATAACTGGTGTTCCATTAGTTACTGGTGTAGCTAATGATGTACTTGGAATTGTTATATATGGAATAGCTGTTAAATGTGGTGTAAAATCGAATGTTGTTGTCCCGGGACCAACAGCACCAGCTGGTAAACCAAACTAAAATAATTTATTTAAATATTCAAATGAAGATAATTAAGAGAAGAAAAAAAACCAAGATTACTGGTAAATTCGTAGCAATAGTCGATGGACTAACACCACGTGTAAATCTAAAATATTGATTTTTATCAACTGGTTTTGCTAATGTAACTTCAACAATTGAACCATCAATTTCTCGACCTAATTAAAAACAAAGAAAAAAAAAACATTATAAAAAAAAAAAAAAAAAGAATGTACCATTCATAAGATTCATTGCATGTAAAGCATCATCACGTTCTTTAAAATGAACAAATGCATAATCTTTTAATTTTTTAACACGTTCAACAGAATTTGATTTAAAACGTTGAAAAATTTCTTTAATTTGTTCTTCTGTTGTATTCATCATTAAGTTTCTAACATAAAGTACTCGAACCTAAATATTCAAATAAAACATTTATTCATAATAATAATAATAATAATAATAATAATAAAAACATCAAATATTTATTTAATTACAGTTGACATAACATCTTCATCAACTTCTGTTTCAGGTTCTGCCCAATCAACAGCAATTTGATGTCCCCATAATTGAATTTTTCCAGGTAATAATTTTCTTCTAGCCATAGCTGCTGATCGATGACTTTCATATTCAACAAAAGCAAAACCACGATTTTTTGTTTTATCATGTGCACTTGGATAAACAATAACATCAACAACACCTTCAGTTACTTTACACATTTCATCAAGAATTTCTTCACGTTTTTTTGTTTTTGGTATTCCACCAACAAATAATCGACAATTATCAACAGATTGACATACACCTATTAAACGACTAGGACGAATTTCATAATTATTTAATTCTTTAACAGAACGTTTTGCATTATCACGACATGTATATGTTATAAATGCATAACCACGATTAAAACCTGAAAAATCCATCATTAAACGCATTTCATAAATTTGTCCACAACGTTCAAATAATGGAAATAATTCAGATTCAAAACAATCACGAGGTAATTTACCAACAAATACTTCACAACCACGACCAGGTGGATGACGAGTTGTTGGCCAATCTAAAATATTTTTTTTTAAATTTTATTCAATCAATAACTTTATAAGTAACTCTTCAGAAAAAAAACAAGTCTTAAATATCGAGCTATCGGTATAGCACACATTATACCGTACGATCTACCGACAATTTTTATTCGATTTGAATCCCATGTAGAGTTTGCCGGATCGAAAATTTTCGGGTCCGGCCTCGATCAAACCATACTTGGATACTCTCAATGAAATTTTCTAAAGAGAATTGGAGAGTCATCTCAAAGATACAAGATACTTTTTTCCAGTTTTTTATATTCGATGACAAGCGTGCACCTTCCATTAGGGCCCGTCGGATCGGGTTCGAAAATTTTGAACCTGATGGACTCTAATTATATGAGTATTCATTGTCAACAAAAGAATAATTAATTCATAAAAAGACTCATTTCAGCAAGATCGAAACAATATTAATTAAAATTCTTTCTCATATTAAGTTATCAACTAATTATATGCTCAATTGAGATTTATAAAACAAATGATAGATCAATAAAAAATTTATCAAAAAAAATGATTATCTAATGAAGATTATCTTCTCTTATTTTTCATCATAAAAAAATTTTGTTTTTTCAAATTGAAATTTTCATTAGTAATGAATCATTATTATCTAATATAGATGATTCCTATCAAACAAAAAACAATAAGTTAATTGTAATGTAATTTGATCAGATTCTATGAAAATAAATATATACTTTAAAACTTATTCCTGTTTTTTCTTCATAGTAAAAAAATGTCAATGTAATGATAATTTATCTTAGAATAGAAGTTGTAAGAGAAAAAGAAAGAAGTTGATATTTTGAAATAGATGTGAATAATCGATAAATGAATATCTACCTGGTGGTGGTCCAGTTTTTCGTTGTCCATTTTCTTGTCTTACAGGATAACCATTATCAGCATTAATACTTGTAATAACTTCATTTGGATGTGTACCAATTATATTTGATGGTGAAACTTGAGGAAATGATATAAATGATTCTTCATTTGAATTATTTTTATGATTTGAATCAATAACTGAATCTTCTTGAGATAATTCTTGATCAATATGTGATGATGAAACGTTATTTGATTCAAGCTCCATGGATTACAATGACGACAAACTAGAAACATATATCAGATTAGAAGTTTCAAAAAAAAACATAGAAACCATCTGCTCTTGCCTTTTCTTCTTTTTTTTTTTTTTTTTTTTGTTTCTTTTTCAATTCTTTTTCAATAGAAAAAAAATATCAGAGAAGGATTATAAATCAAAGAGAAAAGGCAGTAAAACAAAAGGAAAGGTGCTCTCACTGTCTTTCTCTCTTAAATAAATTTTTTTTTTCGTATGCCGACATCGACAGATATAGATAAGGTACTTCTCTTCTATTCAATAATGATAAAACTAACTTCAAACATGTATATATATATATATATATATATAGATGATGACATAGAGCAAACAAAACAATGGCGACCATTCCGAAAGCAATTCTCTTTTCTTTTCGACCGATCTTCAATTTCGATGATAAGACAACACACAAAAAAAAAACTAAATTTGAAAGAGAAAGACAAATCGACGATGAAATTAAAAATCATATTTCAATCGATTAATCTATTAAAAAACGAATGAGAAATGTATGTTCGATGCCATAAACACCTGTTTCTTTCTCATATCATTTATCAATATTAATCCCGATATCATTCATTATTTTCATTTAGAAAATTAAAAAAAAATTAATTAAACAATATAAAATGAAAAAGAAAACTTACTTGGAACAAAAACAAAACACTAATAAATCAAATGAATATTTAATTTTGGAAAATCGAATTTTGAATCACAATTATAAAAAAAAGAGAAAATTAAGAAACAATCTTCATCTCACATCCGCCGTTGTTTAACGGTCGGTATGTGGTGTTGGTCTAATCTTCTATCGACGATGAATGTGTGTGTGTGTGTGTATGTGTCTGTGTGTGCACAAATAAGAGAGCTTTTATCTTTCTCTTTCTCCCAAGCACGTGTAGTTGATCTCTTATTTCACAAGCAGTGACTATCTCTTCTATATAGAACACCAAGTCAACATAACAAATCATTTTCTATATTGACATTTTCATTTATACACTTATGAATTATAAAATTTTTCAAAATTCACTTCATTTTATTATCTATATTTCAAAAACAAAAAAAAAATTTTGAATTTTATTTTATTTCTTTTGTTTCAATTTAATTGAAAAACAAATGGAAAAATTTAATTGTGATTCATTGTTTTATTTTATTCCACGTGTTTGTTAAATAAATAAAGCAAAACAAAAAAAAAAAAAGAAGAAGAAGAAGAAGAAGAAATGGGTTAAAAGTCTAATGAAAAGACAGGAAATCAAAAGATACAAGTCACCGGAAATTATTCTTTTATTCACTTATAATTTGCAATAAATTAATATTAGGGTGTGACGATTTCTCTTGGCACAAATCGCGTGAAACATAGATTAAACAAATCAAATTATTACAATGTTCATTTTGTCTTTTAATAATCATTCTATCTTGTATTTTCTTAGTTTCTTTATTCGGAGTAAATCATTTTTAGTATTGTGTATGCTCTGTATATATGTTAAAACAACAAATTTTTTATTTCCGTTGACCTTCTAAACTGGATTAATATGTGAAAGTTGATTTGTTTATATTCACACTTACTAGTTCGATCGGTGAATAGTAACACGTTGTCGATAAAAATGAACAAGAATGACGATTCTCTCTTATGTTTACTATCAATTGTCATTTTCTTTTCCTTTTCTATTTATGTGAAAATCAGATGAATTCATTTATTATTATTCGTCACGTATTATTCCATGTCAGAAGAAAGAAAAACCAATCGTTCATTACACTTAAATTGAATTTAGTAAAAACAAAAAAAAAATAACGACAATTAAAATATCTTCTTAATTAAATTGATCGAGTTTTCTCTGATTTTAAAAAATAAACTAAAATAAATTTGATATTTTTGTTTTATTTGCATAGAAGACATATTTGAATCCAACGAAAAGATTTTTGTCTGTATACTTTTAATGTAATCACTTTTTGCCTTCAGAGTAAAGAAAAGGTGATATTTGCACAGATTGTTAACCAATGCTGTCTGAAAGGGTTATTTTATCCTCGATTTCATCAAGTAAAGGTTGTATAAGAATTGATAAAATAGGGATTTTAACATGTCTACAATTTCTAATAATCATATCAACAGATCGAAATTTGAAAATTGTCAATATGCAACTTAGTTAAAATTCTTAGGGATTATTCACCAAGAACATGCAGATAAAGAGGAGACATGGCGGAGGAGGAGAGTCAAACATTTCTGAATGTCCAGACACTTACTATGAATACTTCCATTTTTTTTTCACACAACTTTCAGCGAAATTTTCACGGTTAGTTTGTTTTAAAGAGTGTTTTTTAAATAGGAATTGAACTGAATGTGAATCAATTGAATATGAATATAATTCAAAAGCAGATTGTTATTTTGTAGAACAGTTATGCGAGATTTTCGAGTGTCGTTAGTATAGAACTTCATTTTTTGTTTCTGACGATTTTCTGCTCATTAAAATCGAATGTATTAAGAGAAAAAAAGAAAAACTTTGTAATGGATTAGATTTTTGTTTGTTGCTTATGAAATGTGTGTTTATTCATTTCTATTTTCGATATGTTTATTTAATAAAAAAGAAGCAACATATTTAAACAAACAGGCTTTTTCGGAAAGTATTGTTTTATACTGGACATTAGAGCCCATTGAGTTGGTTCCGGATCCAGACTGGTTCGAGTCTGAAATTTTTCTTTTAACCGGGTCCGAAAATTTTGGATCAGACGGACTCTATTGGATGTCCAGGAGGGAGTCAATGAAACTGAACAAATCGGAACAGTGAGTCAAACAATGCGATTCTTGCTTAGACATTCATTATGGATGACTCCTTATTAGAACAGGATTCATATGAACAAAACAGAAGGAAGTTTTTATTTGTATCATCTTGTCTAATTTCAAATTCCGTTGTTTGAAATCATTTGAAATGATGTTCTTTCTTTCTAATAGGAATCATAATTATTACAAGGATAGATGATCATCATCATCATTTTCCTTTTATTCGCTATTGTTATAGTCTTACACCTCTCAATTCTAAGAATCATTTAATAATTGATTTTGCCAATGGAATAATAATTGAGTTAAATGAATAATGACATAATTAATAGCAATAATTAAATCAATAGTTGATAAATCAAGCACGATAATAGCATTTATTTTGATAGATTTTTATAAATAAATAGTAGGACATTGATAAAGAGATATCAATAAAAAAAAAAGTATTCTGATTTTTCTATATGAATGAATACGTGAAATATAGAAATTATTTTATTAGTGAACATCTTAATCAGAGCTTTAATCTTATGATCTTGTTTATTTTATTTATGTTTAAAAAAAAATAATTTAGTCCAAATGTTCTATTATAAGAAAACTTTCCTATGGATGTTATATTGTCAGATAGCTTGAAAAATTTTCTTTCTTACAATGATTAACAGATGTCTTCAGTTATATTCAACCTATAATTTCCATAATGTGGATCAATCATATATTTTGTTCTATCTTTAGAAGAAAGATCGTTCTATTTTGCTTGTATTTTTCTCATATATCAAAAGAGAACTTGAATTGACCTACATTAGTGGAATTATAGATTGAATCCAAATCGAAATAATTTATGGAAATATTGATCTCAATTATAGATGTTTTATTCGACAAAATAAGCTATTACAAAAATATTCATATGTATACATTTGAAATAATTTATTTAAAATAAATCAAATCGAAACGAAGATAAATATTAATTACCAAAAAACAAACTAAACAAATATATATTTATATGATTATCTATTTCTATATATTATTTTGGTGCTTTGAAGAAGACAGTAAGACCAATAATAATAGACATTAGTATGAGAAATGGCAACCAAGTAAGAAGAAGTCCGACAAAACTAAATAGGATAATTTAAAAAAAAATGATAATGAACATTGATACGTTAATATACCTGACAAATTTTCCACGAAAAAACATCCAAAAACAAAGTGAAATCATATTATGAGAATATTTTCGATTATAATTCATTGTATTTAATGCCAAAGCTACATGTGAATGACAATTATCACAACATAAATTATGCTAAATAAGAAAAACAAATAATTAAAGAAAAAAAAATTTAAAAAAAATATTATTTGAATAACCATTCGTTTTTTATATTCATCGGATGCTTGTTCAACAGCTTTGTCCCAAATATTTTGTACATTGTTTGTACCTAATGTTGTTGGAATACGATTAAGATCAAGTTGTAAATATCTTGTTGGTCGACCAAATGCCATATCATCTTCCTGCACATAGATCATTTTTTTTAAATAATTTATTAAGAAATATTTTTCTTAAACTTACTGATACGTAATAAGGTCCTGCAAAATCTCGAATAACTCCATCAGTACGTGCGATACCCATATGACCAATAAACGGAAAAAGCCATGTAAGAAGTGGAATCGGTGTCCAAACAATACAATGAGGATATCTCATACGAGCAGTATCAATTCGATCAGTAAAACCACTTGACATAAAATTATCGTCGTTCATTTCTCTTTATTTTTATTTTATATGATCTTGAATGAAAACAAAAAAATAGTTCGTAGATTAGTTCATTTCTATTCATTATACTCAGGACTGGTCCAAGCTAATCAATATCGAAACTATATAAAGACTTTTTTTCAAAGAGATCGTATGAAAAGCTTTCGGCTTCGCTAGGAAAAAAAAACCAAAGTTTTATTGATAGTTCGAGGGTGTAGGAGGTGTCACATGGCTGGTTTTATTCATAAACAAATACAACTAACGATTATCAATCGATGATAAAACATTATAAGATTATGTAAAATTTAACAAATCATAAAAAGAAATCATTATCTCAATTTGAAAGTTTCTTTTTGATGAAAATTATTTGCTATGAGAATTCATTTAGAACTAATTCGAAGACTTCCTTTTTTTTAGATAGTTTATGACTAAAATAGATGTCGTTAATTTTCGTGATTCGCTTCGTATCGTATAACAAATATTCATATCATGCCAAAAGTCTTCTTGCCTAAACTCTTATCTTCATATAGTGATAAGAAAAAAGGAACATCGGGTACCTGTAATATACCGTTAAATAATATCCGATCGAATATATACTATATTAATTTGAATAAAATAAAAATCGTTTTTTTTCTATAGAACAATAAAAAATGAAATATGTTATGCTGCTTAGGTTAGGTTAACCTTATGCTCACGATGGCATAGAATATTCGTCTCGTCAAATAGCGTCAAAGAACGATTAGATGCATTTTATTTTATGCCGAATACTTTGATCAGTCTAGTGATCGTTGTAAGAAACGAGAGAGTTCAATGATTTGAAAATTTGTACTTTTCCATTCTACAAAAGAAGAAGATATGTACAGATATTTCTAACGAGATTTATAATTTAGACACAAAAAACATCTTTAGTATCTAGTTAGTTATATAATCAATGTATGTGTTTTATTGGTAATTAGTATTGCTTTCGATTTCTAATACGATAAGATTTACAAAAAAGAAAAACTAACATGCATGATATATGTCATATCTCATTTAATCGCTCGAAACTCATTGCAAGACGTAGCTAATAGTTTATGATCTCTTGTGTTCGAATCTATCAATCGTTTCTAATGTTAGAAAACAAGAATATTAAATGATGACTAGTATTATAGATTATTTTGCTTTACATTGGGATTAAGTTTGTGTTTGTTTTTTAATGTATTCAATGCTGCATTCATCGTATTTGACGAAGTTTTCTTTCTGAATATGAATTGTATTGATTTTTTTTTCATGTTTATGCCACAATCTATGCAGTAGAACTAGAACATAGAAATATGTTGAAGTTAAATATTGACAAATAGTAAACACTTACTGCTATTGTTTTATTGGTAACCCAGGTCCAATGAAGCGGCTTTGTAAACGGCCTGAAACGGCGATTAACGATGCAAAACGTCGATAAACGGCGCCGTAATCTGTCATACCAGATTACGGAAGCAAAATCGGGAAAAACGACGGCCATTTTCTAGCGATAGAAACGGCTCGTAATACGGTACGACGGATTACGGTGAAATAAGGCCAAAATCAATGCGGTAATTCGCTGTATTATAGCTGTTTCCAACGGCTGGAATGATCCTCCTTGGAAGAGCATAATGGTCAGATTGGATGAGTTTATCACATACATCGCAGTTATCACCTAATAGAAGCTTTATTAAAACACCGTCTAGAATAAAAATATTTTAGCATTACTATCTGTTATAATTTTCGATTACCTTTATCAGACAGATTTAAACGTTTTTCAAATTCATCATATTGATCGGAACATCGTTTACACATATGTCGACGAGTACCATCCATTTAGACTTTCGTATTACACGTGATACAATTGGATTCACTCATATTTAGATATTGTGAACGGAGAAACCAAAAATAACCGTGCCAAGTATGTTTCTTTGAATTCGAACAAAGTCTAAACAGTAACAATAATATATATATATAAGAACGTAAATAACAAAAGATAGAAGACAAATAGTCAAGAACACGATATCGACTAAGAGAACGAAAGAAATAGATATGTATGCAATAGTAGAATAAGAAATTCATCAGTTAATCAAAAATTCGATTGACCTTAGTTGCATCTTTAGAAATCTTTGTTTGGAATGCTGAGTCTTGAAATAGAAATTTTACTAGATATTTTCAACATAAAGCTATGGTCATGTGGAAAAATCAATTTTCGGCTTCAAAGTTCACAGGTGCAAAGTTCTCAACGAGATTTGTTAATTGTACAAGCTTTAGCTCGACTAGTATTTCTTTTCTCGAGATACAAATTTTGCTTTTTTACATGAGAGAATATCAAATATTTAACATATGAGGATATGCGAGATATTAGAAAAGCTAAAACTTGCACTATGAACTAATCTCATTAAGAACTTTGTTCATGCAAAGTTTGCAGCCAATTTTCTACATAATCATAACTTTTTGTTTAAAAAGTTGAGTAAAGTTTCAATATAATGAAGACGAAGATTTGGAAAATCAAAGCATTCTAGACTTTTCCGTTACTGATCAGATGAGCATCGCCTAGATCGAAGAGCGATTTGATATATGGAGGTTTCTTCGTCAGTTTATGATCAGTTTGTTCGAATGACATTGGACTATTATGATAATTCCTAATGAGTTTGGTCATATGCTTCGATTGAATGTAGTTGTGTATTCTGAGGAAACAGAAAGCACATTTTAATTTCAAGATGATGAAAACTATGATAAATAATTTCGAAAACATTGAGAAAAGCACAAATAATATTATCAAAAATACTCGCACTATTTTAAAAGTTTTTCATAATATATATATATATAATCAATCTAAGCTAGAAATGTTTGAAAATAAGTTTTTGGTCCTGATCTAAATGAAACTATTTGAGAATTAATTTGATGATCATCTCTCTTCAATCAAATACTGATTTGTTAGATAATTCGTTTAGAATCATAGAATATTTGACTCTCATCTTTCGTTTCGATGGGAACAAATTTTTATCTTGTAGTCGTGCATGTCCTATCTCTACAACGTCTTTTTTTCGTGGTCTCAGGCTAAATTTGGTCTCGCACATGTCTAATATTTTCTAGCATTCTCATATAAAAACTGTTATAAAAATTAAAAAAAGGGTTCGTCTTAAAATTAAAATAAAAAAGACTCGTTTAATTACTTTCAGAATTGTTCTCATTTTTATCTAATTGAAAATCAAATGCGTCAAGAATACTTGATATTGTTTTTGTTAAATATCGTTTTTTTACTCATAAACGTCGATAATTTCGTACATGAATTATATTAAGAAAAAAGTCAATTTCAATGTCATTAATAATTACCTAAACATCTTAAATAATTGAAATTGTCATCATCTATATTAATATCAATAATTAATCATAAAAGACGAATAAGGATGTGGGTGTGGGTGTGGAATGAGGATGTAGATTCATCTTAACGCCACTCACACCCCCACTCACACCCAAATAGCATCTAAAATTCCAGTTACAATCGCTCTTTGAAGTCTTCAATCACTTTGAAAAATTATAGTTTTTAAACTAGAAAATTATTGAATTGCTTTTTCTTTAAGACAATAATATTTTTTGTCTGTTGAGTACATTGCTTTACTATAATAAAATTTCGTAAAGATATCGTTTGAAGGTTTACATAACACGTGTTTTATATTTTTCAAGACTCGTTTACACTTTATAAGCAATGCCTACAGTATACTCTACTCATGTGTCACCTATTTCGGAGAATTTTTTATGGTTGACGACAACGTTCTGTTTAATTCAATATGTGTTTTAAGTCATCGAAAAATATTTGTTTTGTTGATCAACATTCTTTCTTTTCCTTATCATTTTCTCTGAATAAAAACAAAAAGAAATTACAACTATTCTTTGATAACGAACAACAAGAAAAAGAATTATTCAGATAAAAATCAACAGAATACTGTTACTTATTTAAAGAGAAAACTGTTTTTTTTTTCGTTGTTTCGAAACGATCGAAAAGTTAATGTATGGCTACCACCAGTAAGGACTTATCAACAAATTTCTACAGTCCAACAACAGATGGTAATCTAGTTCGAAATTTTGAATCATTTACGTGTGTATGGCTTGATCAAACTATTGACCAAACAGATGAAAGTCGACTAGCAGAACAAGAACTTCGTCGAATAATTAATCATTTATTTACTTGTAATGATGAAAAACAATGTGAACAATACATTCAAGATGTCACTCAAGAAAAAGTCGTTCTAATTGTTTCGGGCAGATTAGGCCGATCCTTAGTACCTCATATTCATGATCTTCCACAATTATCAGCATGTTATGTCTTCTGTGCTCAAGAAAAACCACATAGAGAATGGGCTGATCATTATCCAAAGGTAATGAACTATTAGATTTTTTTTTCTCATCTAAACAGAATTGTTTTCGTCAGGTAAAAGGAGTATTTGTTGATCTGGATAAACTTATTAGAAAACTATCAGATGATCAAATCGATAGAGATAAATTAGAAGAAAGTGCACAAATTTCAGTAATAAATCAACATTCTCAATCACTTGAAGAACGAAATGCAATTTATATGTGGTTTCAATTATATATTGAAGTATTGCTTCGTATGCATCATAAATTAAGTGACCGAAAAGAACTTATTGATCTCTGTAAAAATACTTGCACAGGGAACGATTTTGAATTAAATATGATTAAGGAATTTGAAACAAAATATAAACCAGAAAATGCAATTTATTGGTATACACGCGAATCATGTTTATATAGAATGTTAAATAAAGCATTACGTTTTCAACATTTTGACACGGATTTGTATATCAAAGACGTCCAACTAAATTAAGAATAGCAGTTAAATACATACGAACGTTTATTACGATTCTTTTGGATTATCAGTACAATTTTCAAGTTAAGTTGGTTTTCAACAACATTTTTCAACAAGTATCTTTGCCAAAATAATGTCATATATTATTTATAGATGAATGAATCTTGTGACAAATATATCTGTT